GAAAACTAGGATGCAGCTCCCAGCTCTCCTGCTCACTACCTTTGCTTTGTGACTTTGGGCGGATTAATCTCTGTGGACTTCATGTTCCTTATTTACAAAATGGTGGGGTGCGGTTAGATGACTTCAAAGACCCTGTCCCTTCCAGGTTTAAATCTATGATCCTATGATCATCTTAACCAGCTTTTCACTTCCCAAGTAAAGCCTTTGCTTTTGTTCAACATCTTTGTTGAAAACATCATCTTGGGTCTTCATGAAGAATGAAAATCCCTAGGTTGCTCTCTACTCCAATGGAGGGAATTACCCACATTGGTCTGATCATTTACCCACCAAGCATAAAATTACCTTTGTAGGCTCTGAATGTTGGCCTCTGGAGTGATTTCATTAGACTTGAGATGGTTACAGCTATAAAAACCTATTCCAAGTTGAAGTGTTGTACCCCTTCTGAGCTCACTCTCCTAACCCCCCAAGTCCCAGAAGGCAGTTGGTTTTTACAGCACGTGGATGATAGGATTAAAAATCCCAGCCCTTCATGTGTCCACATCTGGTGAGGTCCCCAATGTCAATCAACCAGTTGACATTGATTACCTTTTACAAAGGGATATTTGCTAAGAAGATACAGAATGAATAGCAGTTACAAATCATCCCCCCAAACTAGGGGCCGTTCTTCTGTTACATACACAAAGTGCCTGGAGGAGAATTGTCAGAGGGAAACTTAGGTCAAAGGAAAAAGAACATGTGGTTCTTGGACCAGGGAGTAATTTTCTCCCTTCACAGAGTCGCAATATGGATGTGGTGCTGCTGATGAGAGAGTTGCCCACTTGTCTAGCTAGGCTAATTGTCTTAGCTGACAGGTCAATATTTTGTTTGGTTGGGTGAAGCAGGTCTGACCCTCAGCTACTCCTGCTATTGGCTCTTGTGGTCTCTGCCACCAACTCGGGTTGCTGAGGGGCTCTCTGATAGTTCTTCTGACCTGTTGGAGCTCACAAGGTTGTAATTAGTCAACTGGATACTCTGGAGACTCGACCTAATATTAGAAAAAACAAGTATTATATGCTCAAGGACGTGTGACAGCAGGGTGGGAGAGAGGACAGCCTGCCTGTTCCCCACCCATTGGCTCATTTCCCTTCTAAAGCTGCCAGAGAAGAGAGCAGAGATATTTACCTTGAATCTTTGGATACACCCTCAGTTCCAGCTCCTAGGTCAATTAAAAGACTCTGCACACCATAGTACTAGCCGTTTAGTTACTCACAGTTGGAAGGCAGATGGAAACCAAGCAGGGAATATTGTGCGTTCTCTGTCTAACCCACCAGGAAGGGCAAATTCATGCATGCTTTAAGGACTAGGTCATTGGCCAGTGCCCCCCATTGCAAAAGGTTTGGTTTTGAAAAACAGAATTTTGTCGTGGTAACTATGTGACCTTAATTAAAAGTTCTAGCTGTCTGTCACTTGCTTTGCCAGTAGGAGGAGCAGGAGCTTTCCAGAAGCAACCATAAGGATGGATTCAAAAACATTCTTAAATGCAGATTAAACAAAGATAACAAGAGTTCTCAAAAGATTTTAGACATTTTTAACCCTTCTTCTACAGGAAACTTTTCCCAAATCCCCTTAGTGCCTTAGCTCTGTTGATTTTATCCTGTTGGTAGTGTGTTTGTACACAGTTGTTTTCGTGCTGTCTTCGTTATTAGACCTTGAGCTCTTTGAAAGCAGTGATTGTCTTTCACTTTTCTTTGTACCCCCAGAGCTTTGCATAGTGCTGGCACAGAGTAGGTCTTTAGTAAATGTTTCTTGACTTGATTTACACATTTATTCACACGGTTGAAAACATTTATTATGCACTTACTGTACATCTTGGTATGGCATTATGCTAAGCTCCAGGGGTACAAAGACAAAGTCAAGACACTCTGGGGTGGTCAATAATTTGTATTCTAATGGAGGAGACAACCCATATAGGGGAGTGATGACCAGAAGGAAGGAGTTTTTGGTCTGGGATGAAAAGTGGAACAAGAAGGTGGTTAATTAATCCTGCCCTTGCCAGAGGCAATGGTTGTGTTTTTATGATTCTAGTTTTCAGAGAAAGAGGTAGATGTCTAGGAGTTGGGGAGAGTGTGGGTGAAAAATGGAGAAGATGAAGCTGCCTGGCCTTAGAGCAGAACCCAGGGCCTTGGCTAGCCCCTCTCCCCTGACAGAATGTGAACCTTCTCAGGCTGGCGATATTCATTTTTGTCTTTGTGTCACCAACCCTGTATCTGGTACATAGAAAGTGTTTGTTGATTGCCTGATAGACAACTAAATACAACATAATTTGAGCAGGAAGAGAGTACTAGGGGAGAATGGGCTGGGGGTGGGAATGTAGGAAGTGACATGTAAGCTAAGCCTCAAAGGTAGCTAAGGGTTCTAAGAGGCAATGATGAGAAGGGAGTGCACTCCTGGCATGGCTACAGCCTGGGTAAAGGCAGGGAGGTGGGAGATGGTAGGCCAAGTTCAGGGAAAAGCAAATAGACCAATGAGGAGTGCAAAAAGGGTTGGTTGGTTGTTCTTCATTCTCAAAGAAGATCAAAATGACATCACTATATTAGAGTTGTTATGTGTGTCTGACTGTGGCTGATCAGATCAATACGAGCTTGAAATACTCTACCACAGGTCAGGCACAAATAGTCCATGTGAACATTTGGCGTGGGTTCTCTAAATTTGTGCATCTCATGTTTCTTTTGAGCGACTTCAATTCTCCTTTGCTCATAGAACATAACACCTTCTCTGATGAGGGCATGCCATGGTGGGTGATCCTGTACCAGCATCTTCCATGTCAATCAATTCCAAAGGGTACCAATGTAAAAAAAATAGTCTGGAAAAGTAGGCTAAAGATTCAGGTGTGTGTGTGTGTGTGTGTGTGTGTGTGTGTGTGTGTGTGTGTGTG